AGTGTGTGTGTGTACATGTATATATTAGTGTCAAGTACATCTTTCTTGCATTGGGCTCATGGGAAATGAATGGGCCAATATAACGTGTGTTAGCATGCAACACACACACATAGATGTAAATGGATGCTTACACTGATAAAGATGGCACTGCTATTGTTCATTTTGTGTTAGCACATCTAATCCTGTCCCAAAATGCTAAATAAGGCTTATCTGAGGAGAAATAAACACAAGACATGTATTTTGAGAAACCTGGTCATTAAAGCATGGTACAGGGAAAATGAAATACTTGGTTGCGATGCATTTTAAAGAAATAAAATATTTTACAGGAATTGTTTCTTTTTCTTTTAATTAAATTACTGACAACTTCTGTTTTAAATAGAACCCCATCTGGTTTTGACACCTCCATAAATTGAAATATTACTGTTTTATTTGACAATTGCATTTCTATATTTAAGCTGCAGTGCCACCTGCTGATGAAATCTGGTAATATGGCTCTTCAAATCAGGTATAAAGGACATTCAAGTTTCACATATTAATACTCCATAAATTTGCTTCTACCCCTTTCCCATAAGTAGAGTCCGGTTTTATATTTTATAAACAAGTCACTATTTTGATACCAGTGATAGAATATCAAAAAGTACATTATAGATTGGAGCATTACAGAATGAACAGAGTATAGCTATAGTGAACAGACTATGTTACATTGGTATTGAACTAGTATTAAGGTCAAAAGTTTTTTAAGCTGTCTTCAATGCTGATTAAATCACTTATTATGGATGATGCTTCTTTTTAAAATGTTTAAAAATGTTAAGTTTCCTGCATAATCAGCTAGTCCCCGAAGCACTGGCCCTGATATCCTGTTTTAGAGTGACCCCTTTCTCTGGCAGGGTCCTATGGAGACGCCCTTGTGTGTTTATCCACAAACTCACAGGCATAGCAAGTCAAGTGATTCCCCTACTCACTTCTCCTCCCGGAAGCCGAGAGCACGCTGTTTAGAAACATGATGACTGTAAGTTCTTGGGCAAAAATAAATACTTTGCTGGGCAATGTGTATTTTTGATTCATTGTTGAAAAAAGTTTGAGACTTTACTACTACTTCAATGTTACATTAGTACTGAACTGTGGCAGGCACGGTCAATAAAAAATGTTTATATATTGGCACCAATGCCAGTCTGTTTCTGCTGAGCTACCAAGGTGAAGAATTTGATTGGGCTGTAAGAATTGATGTCATAAAGGAAAGACAGCTCCCTGCAGCTTCTTTCCTCAGCAGGTAGTGCACAGCCCTATTTCATCCATCAATGCGGTACAATCCATAGGCAAACTTTCTGACACTTGTAAATAAAATCCATTTATGAACTTTAATGTGCAATTACAAGGTAAAAGCCATCATTCTTTTGACGCGGTACGGCCAGTCCTAGCTTGGAACAGGTATGTTTGATCACTTTTTTATACCCACCCACCTAAGGGTGGAGGGTAATGGGGAAACCAGTTTGTCTATGCAGTGAATTTAGTTGCATGTAAAATTTTGCTTATTTTTACTGATCTGATATGCTTCAAATGAAGCTGGTGAGGTATGAGGGTTATCACGCTTGAGAATAGGTGAGAAAGCATGTGCTTCGCCTCTTTATGTTTTCAGTACTTTCCTGTAATTACAGTTGTGCTCAAAAGTTTGCATCCCCTTGGTAATTTGGGAATTTATGTACCATTTTTTAAAGAAAACATGAGTGAGCAGGTAAAGTACATTTATTTTATTTCTTATGGGATTCATATTCAACTTTAGGTCACAACAGAATGGCACAATCATAAAACAA